TCTTCCAAGCATATTTCCCAGACTTCACTTCAGTCTTATTAGTAACTAGCTGGTCCTCCTACCCTCTTTGAAAATTGGGGAACTGAGGAATGAAAAAGGTTAGAGGTGAAGTCAAAATAATTGAAACCCAAAGCCTCAGTCCTATTTGGAACACCAACTTTTGATATCTAAACTATTTTTTGCAATTAAAAAAAAAAAGAATGTAGAACTCAAGGGCTCGATTCTACCATCGGACAGCCTGGGGTTGGCTAACCCGCTGGCTTTATTCCCCTCTGAGCCAAATTTCCTTGTCTGTAAAGTGGAAATAATGATACTATCTAATTCGTAGAGTGGCTGTAAATGTCTGATGATATGACAATGCAAAAACACAAAAACTTGGCATGTGATAACTAAGCAATAAATATTACCTGCTACTGTTATTCTTAACCTGGAACGGCTCGGATTCAGTGAGTCAGAGGCCTTGGAATAACTACACACTACCATGTCCTATAATCAAGTTTCCACCAATATTGTAATCTGGTATTGATTTCCTAATTATTATGTTTCTATTCTGCCTTGACTTTTCCAAGATCTCCCTTAGTTTATTGTCAAATAGTTTAAGAGCACAACTAGAAAAAGAAGATGCTCTTGCCCTTGGGGGCATTTCATGGCTTTGTATTTTCATCTCCAGTGACACAGAAGCTAACACGGGAATGGACAGACCAGTCCTCTGCAGGAGCACCAACTGATAAACGCTAGGTCCTCTGTCTTCCAAGCAGAACATGAGGCCCGTAATGTTTAATCGCAGGTGGGAAAATGGACTGTGAAGGCCTGGGTCCTCTCGCGGGGCCTGGGTTTGGGAGGGATCACTACTTGCAGATGTCCCCTTCTTGAAGTTGGCAAAGCAGACATTTTTCCCATGGTCTGGAAGGCCCTGCGTGATCTGGCCCCATGTCTCATCTCCCCACGTTTCTGGTCACATCACTCCCATTGTTATTCTCAGAAAACACCCAGTTTGGAAGGCCCTTCTGTGAGTTATCTACCATGGGGCTACCCCCTGCCTGCAACCCTATCGACCTTACCCTGCTTTACGGGGCAGCGGCAGCATCTTCTGCAGTTTTCTTACTAATTATGTACATTGTCTGTAGTAGGAGGATAAGCTACATGTAAGTAGGGGCTTCCTCCAATGTTGTTCACTGATAGAGCCTAAGTGCTCAGAAGAGTGCCTTGTGCTAACAAGCGCTCACTATATGTTTGTGGGATGAATGAATGGGTGGATGGTGAATGAATAAATGAACATATACTCATGGAGACTCTGGATTCCCAACAGCCACCGCTGTCTTCATGGAAGGAGCAACTGGCCAAGGCGAGAACTGGCAGGTAGCAACAGGTCCCAGGGGTAAAAAGTTCCCATTTGCTCCATGCAGATGCAAATAGGCATGCTGCTTTCTCCCAGTGCCAGCTGGAAAATGAACTGCGGGTTTCGCTTATTTAAAAAAAACATAAAACAAACTTCCACAGCCTTTCCCAGCACTTCAGGCCAAGCTAAACCGTCACAATTCAGGACGCCTGCATTCATCCACTAATGAGCTTTGAGGCCCTGGGAAAGTCAATGAACTTCATGGGGACCCAGCAAATGAAAGGACAACTAATTTTCTTTCCAACTTAAAAAATCACAGCCTCAGGAAAAGGGTAAAAACCAGTCAATCCCTGCTTGACCACTCCTCTCTTCCCTTCAACCAATGATTTCCAAATAAATACGGAGGTTTTAACAATTCACTCTCACAAGAAAACCGACAATATCCTATTGGGCCCATCTCATGAAAGAAATATTACTAGTGGGGTGTGACTCAGCTTGTATTCCTGTAGGTGATTCCTGAAGGTGATGGCTCCAGAGCCACATTTATGCTTTCTTTTCCCTGGGAACCATGCCCCTGACCAAACCAAACACGTCTCTCCCGAGAGGACTCCAATAGCTATCATTCTCCAATTGTTACCTGCTGAAGCTTATGGCGATATGGGGTCACTGCTAAAAAGCTAGATTCTTGATGATGTAGAAGTCCTTTAAGGAACACAGAGATATTCCAAATTACATCATCTCATCATTTCTGTTGAACCCAGAGGCCACAGGTAAACTGAGCTTTCCGAGTACCGGTAGAAATCTGCTTTGTACCAGTACTATTAGCAACCAAGTTTGCAGAAATCATGATCACTTTCCTTTACAGACCAACTATTTTCTTGCCATTGTACACCCAGCACCTTCCTAGCACTGAGGACACTGAGATGCAAACCACACCATCCTCGTGCTCAGGGAGCTGACTGTCTACGAGGAATAAAGATAGCCCCAAGAGAAACAAATAAAAAAAGAAGGAAGAGAAATGGCTCACATGTTCAAGTTAAAAGAAAGTTTAGAAGAAAAAAAAGTAGACATAAAAAAGAAAAAAGTTCTCAAAAATTAAATTACTGAAATGACTACCAAGATAAAAAATATCTTCAACACCATTGGTATGTATTATTCTATACAACCCACCATTTATATATATAGGTGGGCAGATACATTTTTTTCCCTTTTCTTCCATTTTTTCACAAAAATGAAAATGTGTTTTATCTAATCACAGCATTTTTTAAATGGATTAAAAATACCCATTACAATGGTTAATTGTTTATCCATTATAAATATAAATCTACAGCATTTTAACTGGCTAATATGTCCTTTCATAGTGTCCTTCAACGGACTTACTTTAAGCAATTACCTATTGGTTAACTTCTACATACATCTTGATGTAGTTGCCCAAATATTTATTTAGGATACATTCTTTTATATCTGTGTGTTTATCCACAGGTATTCCCAATTGTCCTTGAGTAAAGAGAATACCAACCTCCAATCTCCAGTTCCATAAGCAGGGGGTGTAAGTGTCCATTCTGTGTATATCATTTAAAAAAAAAAATCATTGCCAATCTACAAGTTAAGAAATAATATTTAATTCTTGTTTTCTTTTGCATTTATGTTCTTGGTATGATTCCATTTTGAGAACATCTTTATAGATAATTGATGTTTCTTACTTTGTTGATTGTTGTCTTGTTCTTAACTCAATCTTTCTCTTAGTCTCATATTTTACTATTGATTTATAAAAATTCTCCATCTCTAAAGGCTACTAAATTCTGTCTCATCATATACCAAATGGATGTTTTTTCTAAATCAGTTATCTGCATTATTATTATTATTATTATTATTATTATTTTTGTAATGGGAAACTTTAAGAAATGTATATGGGCAAGTTCATCAAAATTCTGTTTTGTATATATGCCCTTGCATATATGCCCTCATATATCTTTCTTTAGTATTTTACAGTTACAACTATTTTTCCTACTACTTTTACATTTTTAATTTTCACATTTACACCTACATTTAAGAGGGCATGATTAAAATCTTACTATAACTATTTCAGAAATCACATAAGAATATATAAAATCAAGGTGATCATACAAAAAGGATTTATTTACCCCGAAATACTTTTTTAATTCTAAATTTAAAGACAGGACTTATTGGGGAAAAAATAACCAGCAGTTCTTTTCACTTCCAAAGATTGTAATATTCAATTGTCAAATGACATGAAAATCTTGTTATTTTTCTGAGCTAACATTATTATATTCCTTTTGGTCACCAACTCTATTTGCTGTGTATGTTTTATCTTCTCAGCTGGACCACAGATAACTTTTGCATTAAGAGAGTAGACTGAGATTCTTCAATAAATTATCCATGAAATAGTAGTCATGGGATCCACACAATTTAATATATAATTTGGCATATAGTAAGCTCTGTCTAATTAAATAAATTTTGTGTGTCAGACACATATTAAGAACTCTAGAAAATGAATAAGAGGATAAGTGGTTAAAAGAATATTCTTAAAGTAATTAATCCCACAGCAACATATGGGACGAATAGAGATTCAAGATAGAGAGAGACGGATAGATCAAGTAGAAGTCTACAGCAAAATCTAGGCTTCCACTGAATGGGCCCACTAGCCTGAGGGACTAAGAGTGAGTAAAAGTTCCATGGACAGTAATCAGGAAGATGAGAAGAAAGGCAATCTGTGCAGGGCAAGGAGGGGAGCAGTGATTTTCGTATCAGACGTACTGAATCTACTTTCAGAGGGGCAAACTGTCAAAAATACAGGACTGGGACACACAGCTAATGGGAAAGGAAAGCAACCTATGAGAGTACTTACACAGTATCACACTGTCTTAGGTATTTCACTCACAGAACTGGAATTTAAATTTCAGTCATCCACACATTAGTGATAGGCAAGGAAAAAGACTCCCAGAGCTTGGTTAGATCATGGCTCTGCCATTTCTAGCTACAAAGACCTTAGGGCAATTTACTTACCATCTTTGTACACCTAAGTTTTGTCATCTAAGAAATGAGGAAATAAAAACGTCTCCCTCAAAGAGCTGGAATAAATGATATAATACATAAAAAGCAAATAGCATGATGCCTAAAATATAATTAAAACTCAATAAATGTACTAACTAGTGGAAAAACCAGAGAACTTAACAACTTGCTCTAGTGATGGTCTACATTAAGGGATAAAGGATAAAGATACTTAAAAGATGGAGGGGCACTTAGGTGGCTCAGTCTGTTAGATGTCTGACCCATGGTTTCGGCTCAGGTCATGATCTCGGGGTCACAAGATCAAGCCCCGTGTCAGGCTCCACACACAGCATAGAGTCTGCCTGAGAGTCTCTCTCTCCTTCTCCCTCTGTCCCTCCCCAGCTTGCCCACACATGCACTCACTCTCTCTGTCTCTAAATAAATAAATAAAATCTTAAAAAAAAAATGCTTAAAAGTTGGAGAGGTATATAGGGAAATGGGCACAACCTTGAAAACACAATGTTATGGAAATCATGGGGCTAACAGCTTCAAAGAAGTAGTTAATTAATACAATGTGAGGATAGACGAACGAACCATTTGGCCCTAGTTGTTCTTCATGTAAAAAGCAAATCTGGATCGCACTACATACCCAAAGTTGGTCATCCATGCCTGGTGGGTTCTTTTTGATAAAAGCACCATAGTAAGTAGCAATATTCCGGTGATGAGAATATTTCTTCAACATGTTAATTTCTTGTTTGATTTCCTCCTCTTCATCCTGTATTAGAATAAAAATATTCTGTCATGAAAATCTGTTGTCCTTAGTTGGGTTTTGTTTTTTTATCACCATCCATATCAACTATGTAATAAATTCTTTCTTAAGTTTTTTCTTTTGGGGGTGCCTGGGTGGCTCAGTCATTAAGCATCTGCCTTTGGCTGGGTGACGATCCCAGGGTCTTAGGATTGAGCCCCACTTTGGGCTCACTGCTCAGCAGAGAGCCTGCTTCTCCCTCTCCCACTCCCATTCCCCCTGCTTGTGTTCCCTCACTCGCTGTGTGTCTGTCAAATAAATAAATAAATATTTTTTTTTTCCCTTCTGTGGTTGTAAACACATATTATTATATAACTTGACTTTCTCTCTTGACTACAAGGAAAAAAATTACAAGACGACAAATTGGCAATCTAAGAGGGTCTTCTCTTTGTACAGCAAACAGGCATAGCATACAACCTGCTAGAAAAAGAAATTGCATCTTTGACCTAGAAAAGATCAAGGTAGACAGAACATTGAGATAAAATTCACTCTCGGCTTCCGGGAACTATGTCCACTGAGTACCTACCACTTATCATATCTGGTAGAGGAAAGGTTGGGGAAAGGAAAAAAAAAAATACAGTCTCTGAGATTTAAAATTTGTTAGGTTCATTTTCTTTGAAGCCTACTTTTATTGAAGTAACTGACTGAAGATGATGAAAGTCAGATGGGAAAGGGAGCGAGGATAGTTCCCTAGATCTGAGGAAGTTCACAAAACAGGAGTACTCATCTCACTTTCAGGAAACTAAACATAAAAAGAAAGGAGGAATGTGGTAGTGCCATGGATGTGAAAAGGGCTAACTCTCCTACAGACTAAGTTTCCCTATATTCAAGTCTCATTCATTCTGAATTTCAATTTGGAGTCCATCACCTTGGGCCACTTTAGGGAGCCCTAGCATTACCGTTGGAGTGCGCATGTGCTCTCCCATAATTTGATTTTGGTATGTACACATTAGTTGGACCATAAACCAGTATTTTATTTTAGAGATTGTTGGAAAAATATTTCCATCCCAGGAGAGTTGTTTTAGATGCAGAGGTAGCAACAGTGATCTCTGCATGTAGATTGCTATATCACCTTTACCTGAAAGGCTGCCCATGCTGTGTCCCTGTCTGTCCCCTTCCATCTTGGGCTGCTCAGCCTCACTTCAGTGTCTATGGCGTCATGCCCTTCTGTGGTCTTCCATGGAATATTTTCCCCTTCCTCGTCTTCACATAATTTTTATTCATTATTCCTACTGACTTTATATGACCTCCTTAGGATGTCTTCCCTAATTCTCTCAGGCCATGTCAAGTCCCCACCTCACCCCTCATCACTTTATCTTATCTACTCCCTACACTTAACACTTGTACCATATTGGTCTTGGTATGGAGATAAGTCATAATTGCTCTTTTACTCGACTCTCTTCTCCATGGATTGTAAGCCCTCCTCTGCCTTCAGGTCTCTGTTCCAGAGTCCCTTCCCCAGCAAAGCTCCCTGATCTGTCTCACTTGGTTTGAGCCTCGTGGATCATCATGTGTCTCTCCCTTTGTGGCACCTTTCCACATTTATCCCTCTGACCATTTGATCAAACTCTCTCTTCCCCATCAGCCCATAATAACTATAAACACAGGAATGGTGCCTGCTTTTGCTCTTTGTAACACGCCCTGCACCAGGCAAAATGCCTGTGAGGAAACATGAATAAAAGAATGAACACCTGCAAAAGGCAAGCTGCTTACAGCAGCGTTAGTGGGGCTTGAAAGGAAATGGTAAGAATGAGATGAGAAGAATGGTGAAACGCTGACATTTCCTGACCATGCAAAAATAAGTTTCAGCGAAAAACAATGGAGATTTGCCAACCTAGGAGAACGAAACATGTTACACATCACATGGGTTAACAAAATTGAAGACTAGGTGATCTCAAAATAGAATGTACAACCGGGGTGCTGAGCTGAGGAGAAGCATGTGGCCCTCACGGTGATGAGGGGAGTTGAGGAGGGAGGCGATGGCATACTGCTGATCACTGGGTTCTTTCCTGCAACTATCAGAAACTACCTGTGCCTTCGCTATTGGCCTGGGGTTGGGACTGAACTTCACGGATCTTCCACTTGGCAAAGGGTCCCCACAGCACACCTCAGATGTCTTACTGTGGTGCATAGTGAGCTATTTTAAACCTACCATGTGGGGCCAAATTATTGTGGACAAATGCAGGATGTGAGCAGTACTTTGGGGAAGCCTAAACAGAAGGGGAGAAAACAGACCTGAGGGCTTCTGTGGGCAGCCTGGTATCGACAGCTGCTTCCATTAAAGAGGTAACTACATGAGGCAATAAAATACCCTTCTCTCTCCCACGGCAGCCTGCTGGTCTCACCTTCAGTCATTCTTAGCAACAAGTTGGTTCTACAAGCATTGCTGCCAGCCTTCTAGGTTCTCAAGAGGATGGAGGGTAATGTGGGAGAATCCACTGGGTGGGGAGTGTAGTGTCTTAGAAAAAGTTTACTGTACTATTAAGAAAATAAGAATTTGTGAAACAGTTAAATAACAGTATAATTCAATATATAGTTAAATCCAAAATAAATAGTATTCGAGAACAGAATGAAGGCAGCAGCTCTCTATCATTTTGCAAAGGTAAACTGAGTCAATATGAAAATGAAGAAAGCATAGGCACTGAGTCAGAAAAATGAGGGTGGGCAGGTGGGATGTATGTTCTCTTTGGGCTCCATGATCTTAGGAAAGTAACCTATCTTTTACAATGTCAGTTTTCTCTTCTATAATTAGATAGAGATTTTATAATAGAATTTTATTATAAGCCACAGTCTTTTGTGATATTTGAATGAAGTATGTGAAAGTTATAAAGTGTAATACAAAATAAACATTATTTTTAGTCTTGTCAACCAAAAAATAAAAAAATAACAACAGTGGAAGAGCACGAATGGAGGTATCTTGAATTTTAGTTTAAATTGCATGGTTTCCAAACACAATTACGGAACCACTGTGGGTCATTGCTATGTAGCTCTAGCATAGAACCTTGATCTTGATCTTGTAAGTGGGCATGCATTTTATTGGGCTACTATTTATCCCAATTTCTAGTCTAGGGCAGTGGTGGCAGCAAGTTAGCGGTATTGACAAGGACACACTTACTAGTAACTGCAGGAACTTATTTATCCACTCGACAAGCAGTCTACCCTCTCACAACATGGCTATTGAAAAGCATGAGTTACAATGCTTTCAAAAAGACAAAAACAACAACAGAGGCTATAGTTAGATTACAAAGTTCTAAGAGAAGGATGTCTTCTGTTTTGTAAATGGATTATTATGTCTTGAGAATTAAGCAAAAGGATCAAGCCCACCAGGAAATAAACGACCTCTGGGTCATAATGAAAAACAAAATAATGGTACCAAATTGTCACAAATTTTAAAAGGGACTGGTTTTAATAAGCCAAGTCTGGTAAACAGGAAGAACCGTTACTTCAGTCATAAATCTATTCCAAGTCGATTCATTACGTACCCTCAGACATTGCATATGGACTCTCTAAATATCAGTTATGTGAATGAAAATAAGAATATCCATTTAAACCACCTCTCAGGCTTAGAAATTATCAGTGCTTATTTAAGCATAGCTTTATTATCAAAATAAAGAAGACTTTCTTTTGCAAGATCACAGGAATCTATTTATTGCTTAGTATTTGTGGTAGCCTTGGATAGGGGAGGGGTGGAATGGCCATGATGTTTGGCAGCCTCCCTCATGAGGAGATGGGAGCCCATTTCCTCTTCTTGTCTCTGGGCTCGGTCATGTGACTTGTTTTGGCCAATGGGACATTAGCAAATGTGACCTAACAGAAGCTGGAAAATTACTTGTGGACTGGGGCTAGCTCTCTCTAATTGCTTGCGGACAAACCTTCTGAGTGAGAAGGCAGGCCTGGCCTCCTGGAGGATGGCAAACCATGTAAGAAAAAGTGGTTTTCAAAGGCAAAGAAATAGATGTTTCTAGGAGATGCTTTTAAGCCACTGACTACCTCTGATGATAATACCACAGAATGATATGATACTGTGGTCAGAAAACAGAGCCAAAGCCAACCTTACGTAATGTTCGCTATGTACGAGAAACTGTGTATTTAATATGCAAAACAGCTCTATGAAGTAGATGATTAAATGATCCCATGTAAGTGAGGAAAATGAATTTCAAAGAGGTTAAGAAATCTCCCAAATTCTTTCGTATCTTATATGTTAGAGCTAAGATTCAAAGTGAGATTCGTCTGACTCCAAAGCCGGTGCTCTTAATTCTATACTGAAAACTCCTAGACAGAAGACCAGTTACCCTTGATGTTAAAGCTGCTAATCATGAAGGAAGTGTTTGGGAGCATTTTAAGCCAGGGATAAAGAGAAACCTGCCTTTGGTCCTCCAATTAAAGAAACTTGTTAGCACACAATAGTACTTGCTTATGAATGACATCAGGGATTTTAAGTTGCATATTTAATACAGGGAATATACTTTAAGCATCTACAATATGCTAGGATTGAAAAATGGAATTAATAAGATACTTAATATTAGTGTGCTCTATGACAAAGAGTTTGCCCAATATTTAGGTCGTGATGCATGGAACAAAAATAAAACTGTGTAATAAAACTATGATAAGTCAGGGGACTGGTCAGTCTGAACTCAGAAGAAAGTACGAGGCATAGAGACTCCTATATGCCACTTGACCCTAGCCATGTGGTCACTGGTTGGGACCGCGGCTGTCGCTCTCCACAGCACGGGCCGGCCTTAGGCCTTAGGTGGTTGTTTGTGTTAACTCCCCCATCCTTCTCAACTTCACTGTCGATGGAATATGACACAAAACTGAAGACAATTTACTGTTAAAGAATCACAGGCATTAGAATGTGAAGGGATGGTTGACATTTTCTAGGATGTAATTTTAAAATGTTTTAAAATAATTTATAATTGTGAGATCCCTTCCTCCAGCGGAAGTTTTATTCAGGATGGCCACATACA